ATAAATATGGAGATCAATGATTCGACCAAACAAACAGTCCGATCAGCGAATCCATCGGATCGAGATCCGTGAATCCGACCAAACAAACGCGCCCTTCTCTCATGTCTCTCTGGATGGCGCCACATACGCTACAGCTGAAAAACATGGAAACTGAAAAACAACACGATAAGAAAGTAGTGAATGAAGGCAAATTGGCTAGCTATAGACGGACGCAGGCTACTCTAGGAACTGGAATAGAAAAAGTAACGACTACATCATTCGTCTGTTTCAAAAATATGTATTATGATTATTTTAACGGAGAGATGAGTTTATAGTCGGCAGTGGCTACGGGTACGGTAGACCGAATAATTCTGGGCCCAAGGATAGAGAACATGGGTCCCAATAAAACCAATGTGCCTAACCCTAACCCTAATTCTAACCCTGGCCCTAACGGCCCAAGGATAGAGAACATGGGTCCCAATAAAACCAATGTGCCTAACCCTAACCCTAACCCTAATCCTAACCCTAACCCTAACCATAACCCTAACCTATTATATTGATATAATATTATATTTATATTGATGTAAATGACATTGCCATTGCCATTGGTTTTATTGGGACCCATGTTCTCTATCCTTGAACCTAATTTTATTGCACAAATATCTCACAGATACTTTGGCAGTATGTCGCGAGATGGCGTTGTTTACGATTTAGAGTGTTTACTTACGTTCCGAGTTTAATTAAATCTTGAAAACGTGCATCCTGATCAAATTTTTCGAATTTTTATACTGTTTTGGACTTTATTTCGTCGAAGTACACGTTTGACACTCGTGGCATCTACCGCTCAACCGATTTTACCGCTCTACCCCTCGCCGAAAGCTGGTGCTAAAATTTGGCTCAGGCCTGATCCGACGTTTTCGATGGGACCAAATCTGGCACGGGCCTAATTAGGCTCGGGCCAAAAACGTCCGTGTGAACGCTCGGCTCGGGCCAAAAACGTCCGTGTGAACGCTCGGCTCGAGCCAAATCTGGCACGGGCCTAATTAGGCTCGGGCCAAAAACGTCCGTGTGAACGCGCCTTATATTAATAAAATTATATTATGATTGGTCTCAATCAGTGAATCACGCCTAGTCCGAATTTGAGCTAGCTCTAGTACTAGTACTAGTACTACTACTACTACAAGTACTACTTAGTACTATGGGTCAGGCCCCTTACACGCCCGCAGCGACACTCAGACGTGCGCAGCCAGTGGGAGCTGGAAGAGGGGGAGGGGGCGAATTCATATACATCACCAGATGGCCGCGAGAGGGCAGTAGGGAACAGTCAACATCAATGGCGTAATATTTCTTATTTCATTTATTACTTTCCAAAAAACCAACGAATATCAACGGATTTCCAGGTAATTTACTGCGGAGAGCAAGTAGTATCAGTCCGTAAACGGCGCACGCAAATACGCAGATAGATTTGAGGGCCGTAGCACAGGAAGATCACGGAAAATTCTCGCTCGTAGCAATGATGAGAAACAGTCGGAAACGGGCGAGTAGTGTCGCTTAAACACTAAGTCGTTTTTTCGACACTTCCTGTGAACTGACATAATGTTTCTCGGTCGAAATGAACAAACAACACCTTCAACAACACCCCTGTCGATTTTAAAGGGGCTACCCCCACATTGACGAAAATGACATAGGTCTCAATCTTGACATCATCTCTATCCTTGAACCTGAATGAGGGCTATATTACTAGAGCTAGATTACAGTAGGGGCCCACACCACATGTCACGCACATTCGTAGAGTATAGTATTAATTAAATTTGATGTTTCAGACTAAAGATTGGAAAGAATTGAAAAAACAAAGTATGTATCGATTTATCTAGTATATAGTAAGAACATAATTACTAGTCATTGGATATAGCCCATATTATTATATGATTAACAAAGTCAATAATAATTAACAGTCATACACGCACTGAGTCATGACACTAGTCACTATGTACCCCGTACAGACTGCAAATTTGATATGGTATCAAACTGGTGCGCGTCAGGCGCGCGTCAATTTTTTGCAGCGTGCACACGCTATCCCGCTACAAATACGCACTGGCCTGCACCAATTTGGCCCCGCAAATGAAGGAGGGCCAGGCCCGCTTCGAAGCGGGCTACTACGCTAACTTGGAACATACCAAGTTAGCTGTTAGTATATTACCCATCAATGTCAATGGAATAACACGACAAGATCACACTCAGTTGGTTTAGTGAGACCAGAGTCAATCTGGCCACTTAACACTTGGCATGTCTGTTTATCATATGATGTCTATGATTCGGGGGCAGGGGGTGTTATCCCCAAATAGCTGTGTAATTTTGTTTGTGTGTGAAGGAAAGGCATGGAAGGAGATGAAAGTGATCGAAAAGTTAGAAAAGGCAAAAAAGTTGAAGGATGAAGAGGTGAAGCAGCGACAGAAAGAGGAGGAGCAGGCGAGGACCCAAGCTGAAATTGGTAATGCTGCCTTACACCCTGACATATTATGTTAAACTCCTGCCGTAGATGCAGCATCACTGTATGCTGCAAACATGCTTACTTCTACAACAGATGGCAGCACTGTCATGCGAGCATTTCATAATGCATATTTTTCCATATTATTTTGCACATTGTCTAGCTTTTATTTGCATGCATGAAACATCCAAATGTCGTGTAACATGTTGTTCTCTCTGTGCAATTGAACAGAGTAATGTGAAACATTTGGACTGTTGTATTGGCATCTTTTCTGTTGAGACACAAATAGCTTATAACTGCCACATCATATGAACAAGAATTGAACTGAAAGTAATCTCCATTTGATATCTCTCCATATAAGGCACTTGCTTGTATGGAGAAGATTGACAGTCCTCTCTTGCCATGAGCAGTACATATATGCGTGTGAGAGTCAGTGCTTAGATTTTCATATTACAGTGAAGCCCCGATTTTAACGCGCAGCGATTTTACGCTAATTCGGATATAACGCGATGAGTCATTGGACCTTTTTTGCTCTTTCCGGAACTGAAAAGTTTTTTGGCGAGTTTAATTTCGGGTCAAAAAACGGGTCAAATAGGGGTGTTTTAGGATGTTAGATCAATATGTCAACATTGGTTCAGTTTATACACTGATTTTCTTGAACCCCGATTTAGCGAGACGCCGCTTTTTTGTGATGACATTTTATGGACCTCAATGATCACGTTATAACGGGGCCACACTCTATCTGTTTTTTGCAGGAAGGCATTTCACAGTTAGCATTGCATTGCCTGGATCCATTCTGGATAATGCTCAGTCACCTGAACTACGAACCTATCTGGCTGGCCAGGTAAGCAGTTATGATGAGTTAACAAAAACTAAGAAAATTGAACTCATTAACCGTCCTAGTGCTTATATTGGTGGAATTTCTTCTATTATGGCTACCGCTGCTGTTGTTGCTACTGCTGCTAGTTGTATTACTTCTACTGTAGCTACTGTTGCTGCTGCTGCTGCTGTTACTGCTACTGCTACTGCTACGTACTGCTACTGCTACTGCTACTGCTACTGCTGCTGCTACTGCTACTGCTACTGCTACTGCTACTGCTACTGCTACTGCTACTGCTACTGCTGCTGCTACTACTGCTACTTCTACTGATACAGCTTCTACTGTTAGTGCAGTTGCCCTTACTACTCCTGTTGCTGTTTCTGCTGTTGTTGTTTTTGCTGCTGCTGCTGCCACTGTTGTTGTTGGAAATGATACAGCTGACTGATCGACCGGTGTTCACATGGCAACTAATCTATATGCTGCAGATCGCTCGCGCAGCCGTAATCTTCAACGTCGATGAGATCGTCATATACGATGAAGACGCCGGACCAGAAAGGTGATTCATAATATCCAGTCATTTACGTCACACCAGTGTTACAGTAGTTCCCCTTAATATCAGTGAACTTTATGCCCACCTACGTCCTACCCCCTTAACAGATTTTTTGGTTGCCTTTAACCCACATAACCCCGGAAAATTGAATTGTTTGTAGTCCGATCCAACGTAGCGGTTATAGCGAGCACTAAATTACGTATTCACGTCAGTACGGGAAAACTCGCATTTAGTGGAGGTAAGTGTTGTCATTTATCGAAATGCGCTGAAAACGGGAACAGATTGCACATCTGAGAATTGTTACATTTTATTCGCGAGTTTGGTAAGCTCGTATAAGCATTGTTTAAGCTTGTATATAATTAAGTTGAGATAATTGCATTAATTAATTAAATGAATTAATAATCAATTAATTCATCTATTTAATTAAGTTAAGTTACTTAATAAATTAAAATAACTGATAAATTAATATAAATAAAGTAATTAATTTATTTAATTAAGTAATTAGTTTAAGTTATTTAAATAAGTTAAGCTTGTACGTCTATACTATACCTCTGAAACTGCCCGTCAAAAACGCGTGCGTTTCTCCCACCGCAGCGGTCGGGCACGCAGCGTCGAGGGAGAGTTCAGCGGAGTGAAGAAACATGGCGAGGCGAGCGTACAGCTGGGACGCATCCTGCAGTACCTGGAGTGCCCGCAGTACCTGCGCAAGCACTTCTTCCCGCAGCACAGGGACCTGCAGTACGCGGGTGAGTTGCGGCGCGACCTCGCATAACGACCCTATGTGACTTCACCTACTGTCTCCACATGACCTCGTGTGGCGATCTTATGTGACCTCGCATGCCGGCCCCGCGTGACTTCGTGTGCCGACCTCGCGTGACTTCGCGTGCCGACCCCGCGTGACTTCGCGTGCCGACCC